AAGGGAGGCAGGCGGGGAGGGAGAGAAAAACGCGCACAAGTTAGGAATTGGCAAAGACAAAGGAGGCGCGCACGAACGCACGCATTGGCAGCAAGCCAAATGGACTGCTAGGCGTCAACGCACACGCGCACAAACGGTCGCATGCGGGAGCACGTCTCACTGAGCGATGTGATGCGTCACGTGCATAGTCGTGGTAGATGTAAGCACGCACGCACACATCCACGCCAATGTTAGCTTATGCCAAGGGGCGGAGTTAAACGCGGTTGTGCGACCACTGCACACTCACGTACGCACCGACTATGCGTCACGTGTAGTGTGTGCACTCGGTCATAACGAAGGGGCGCAGTTCGCGCACGCACACACACACACACACACACACGCCGAAGACAGGCCCTAATGCACGCACTTGGCTAGCTGCTAAACGCTAGGGTGTTCGCGCGCGTGCGCCCACACACAACTTGACGAGCGTGGCACAAACCTGGATGAAATTCGCAAGCATCCCCGCGCATAGACACGTATCAACATTTGACGATTTTGAAACGCTTCTCATATTGACTTAAATTGGTGTCTTTACTACTCCCACTGCTTTGACAATATGACCGTACTTACGCTTCATAAATAAACTTGAAGCATTATCCTACCAACATTAAGCCCAGCAAGCAAAATGAGAAGCATATGAAAATGGGTGGGTAGTGGATTCCCTATGTTACTGTTGCTTTAGTCAAGGTAAAACAAGTCCACTTCTCATTGAAGAAAATATCTGAAGGCTCACCCAACTTTCGGATGAGTCCTCATTCCCAGAGTCGCAGGTGGCAGAACTACGATCCACATCTGATGGAGTGGCGGATCGTTGCTGATTAATGGGGATGATGTCGCACGCTTCCTCGCTGGTAAAGTTTACTGCCTTGGGACGTCGCGCACGACGCACAAATCTGGCCTCAGAGAGATCGGTAGGTTCCACAAGGCCAAGATCATACGGGGTGTCCTGTAGGTTTGAACATTTAAGACGCTCTGCGAGCATTGAGATAGAAGAAGGAGGGCGTACAGGGGGTACTCGAAGGGATTCGGCGCTTGTCTCAGACATCATAACATGCTGTAAAAAGAGGAGGAAGAAAATCTGAAGTCAGAATGACGTAGAGCACTGAGAGCTCGGCGGCATGTGTGAATGTGCGCGCGTCGGTAGCGCTTGGCACGTGGCCAGAGCACAGAAAACTCAACGTGCGGCGGTGATGGGTGTGTACGTGTGGAGGGCGAGATGTGTGCGCACACAATTCATGCGCCCCGTGCGTGCATGTACGTCCGTGCCCAGCGCGCGCGCCTGCATTTCTTCTGTTGTCGATAGAACGGAAGCGCAGAGCTTTATGTATGCATGTTGTTTGGCTCGCCCTACGCAAAGGCGCATACCTGGACGGTTAATTGGTTTTTGTTCGCGCGCCTGTGCAACGATGCCAAGTATATATTAGTAAGCACGTTTCCAAATGGTATCCGCACTTAGCATCCACATACAATAACCAAACACACATTTACTAAACCGATGTTGAAAGTTAGATTGCATCACACACCACAGTTAACAATATATTTAACTCATACATAGCAGGGGTTTTCGAAAGTGAATAAACTACAAGGAAAAAGCGCGAGTTTAAATGGGAAGAGAATTGTGTCTAGTAATGTGAAGGGCGCGCAGAACATGTTCGTAAATGAGATATCAACAAATGGAACCCTGAATACGGAAAAAAATCGTAAGGCGAAATGTCGCAACGCCTCACCGAAATTAAATTAATCAGTAATAAAAAATACACAATTTGCATAAGAAATCGGTCACTGCAGAACCGCCTAAGATCCGAAAAATTGATGAGAAAAAAAGGGATGCCAAATAGTGGTCATCTGAATTCAGCGCCACAAAATTAAAACAAGAGCAGCAAGATGAGGAAAATCAGCAAATCACTATCTCCAAAGTGAGACCCCCGATAAAAAACTATGAGTGTCCTTGACGAAGACATTATAAAAATAGAAGAAGCAACATCAGCACGTATTAAGTTATGCAGGTAGTGACTTATCCAATAATGGGTGGCCCACAAGGTTTCCAACAAAAAGGTTTCAATAGGAAAGTCAAAACAAATTGATAGAAAATGCAATAAATCACAGGCAACATCCCCATGGGTGAAATGTATACAGTAAAAAGAGCTAGTACGAACGAAGTAGGAGAGATTTTGCACAATGATTGATAAGGATCAGTCTCCGAGTGCTTTTCCAAACATTAGTAGAAGTAGCACATTCACGGCCGAAAAAGTCTCAATGTTCAATCCGACAAAAAAAGCATCAAGCAGCAAACATTCAGCGAAAATTGGCCAATGAACTATACAATCAACTCACAAATACAAACTCGAAGGCCGCAAAACCCAAACTATGCAAATGCCCGCAGTGCGCGCCCCGTAATGTTCATTTAAATTAGAATGAATGAACACACCACCGTTATATTTTATGCAGAATTTTGGGATTCTATGATTAAAATTTGCAAAGTTTAAAAAACTTGCCCAAAAACAATTGTTAAAATTCTTATTTTGTTTTATTGCAGCGTTTTGATTTTGCAAGAAATAGTTGCTGATTTGTAGCATATTACAGTAATTCAAAGCTCGATGTTATGTATCCAACTTGCATTTGTTGTTGCACAGTACTAACACTCCTACCATTGCTTTGCGTAACGCACCTTTTCGCTTCCATAAAACTGTCTAATCTGTGAACTTTATCATCATACTCTAAACAGTATTGAGCGCCGGATATATAAGCTGATTGGTTCTAAGTTTGAAAATTTTCCACTCTTGATTAAATGCAAAAAAAATCTGGTCAGCCAGTTGCAGCGTCTAAAACAACCCTTTAATTATTAGCGGAGCATATTTTAGTACAGAATTCAGAAGAGCTAATGGACTTTTCTTATGACAAATTAAAGTGTGTTGATAAGACTATGCACACGTTCAGCAACTAGCACAAGATAAGAGCGCTCCGAAAGGCCTCCTCATAAAGACGACATGTTTAAATGAGTAAAAGGTGCAGGAAAATGCCCGGCCGAACTCACAAAGAAGAACGAACACACATAATTATTAAGCTGACAAAGTTGCAGAAGACCTATAAATAGAAATTGTGCTGTGAATAAAACTCACTCGAAGAAGTTACAAGGTTTGCGTAAAGCTTTGTGACTTCCATCCGGGAAAAGTAGACATTAAACTGAGCTGAGAGAATGTACTCAACGCTAACAAGAGCTAGGCGAAAACCAAAGTCATCATCGGATTCAGGCAGTCATCTGAACAGTGTATTACACTGCCCGTGTCTTCATTCAGCGACGTCTCCAGGCGAGCCGATCCTCTCAGTACATCTCCCGCACCAGTCACCACAACATATCCATTGCTACACGGCAACACCCACGAGCCAACCGCGCCAATCATCTGCTGGCATAAAGATGTGCATTGTACTGGACCTTCTCAACAGCTTCAACCGGACCTGGAGTCACGTTCGTTCTGAGGGGAGGGATTGCAGAGAGGAATTTCAGTTGGCCATCAATCGTGTCCAGCATTAGAAGGTGGTGCATTGATCTAAAACAGATGTTTGGCAGGGAAGATGGGATCCAACACGCTCCCGTATGGAAGAGCATTCGGATTAGTGTCATCTGTGACATCTATACGCGGATGCGGTAAGAAAGCTGACAGTGGCATCGCTTCGGTTCATGATAGTTTGCCTGTAGGCCACGGAAATGGGATAGAGCCGAGCACAGACATGAATTTAAGCCGTTCTGTCGGGAAGAATGTAGAGAAGCACAACTTGAATTATACGAGCTTACTTCACACCATAAAGTGTGGTAAAAGGTGAATACTAGGATAGAAATCGTTAAAATTTCGCGTTCTTTTGTTATTGTCACTAGTATGGAGCACCGTGACGAAAAGGCACGCATTCGAAAGCGAGGTGAATTGTTTGAGCTCTGGCCTGGCACAAAGCAACATCCGTGCGGGTAGGTTTTCACTATTTTCAAGGAATTATAGTTTTCGGTGGTAAAAGCATTGCATTGGGACTCACGACGACCTATGTTATAAGACGCCAAAGCAGGCGTTAAAAAGGCATGGATCGCGGTTTGATGAACAATGTACCACCTCCCTTTAATGTTTTCCGTAGCGTCCAGAGACTTTCCACCGGATGAAAGAAGTGGTGAATGGAGATGGAAACATGTATTCCAAGGAGAACAAAGTAGTTAGGCCTGAGCATGGCCCAAAAGCTAGGTCATATGTATAAGGGTCACACGAATCTCAAAATTACCACCAAACCTCAGGTGGTCACATAAAAAAGCGTTACATTCTCATTTTGCAGATGAAGGCACTAAGTATAGCTATATGCATGTAGTTAAGTTGAAAGTGAAGAGCTGTCAGTCGCGCAGTCATTCAAGTAAACAAGTTATTGCATACACATTCATAGAACAAGGAAATATGCTATGCTTTGAATTGACACGATGTGAAACACCACCGACGAAAGCAAAATCGCGATAATCAACGAATTAAAATTCTAGCCAACAAACGAATTGACTATGCAATACTTGTTTTGACCATCCGATTCGGTTGCAATCTATCTACTTTTGCAGTTTAGCAGCACTGTGTGACCTGAGACTTAGGGTCATGCCAAATGCATCTAACCCTATCCAATGCCCTGTTTTTGCTTACTCTTTTAAATTGCTATTGTAATGCTTTGCTTATGTGACTACCTGGCGTTTGACAGTCACTTAAGGATTTGTCCGGCCCTTGTACTCGTGGGCTGGCCTTCGGGCCATGCTCGGGTCCATTTGTTCCGTTTTCTTTGTAATACATGTGTCCAGTTTCACTTACTGCCTTCTTCCACCCTATGTGAAGTCTTGGGACGCTACAGCTATGCGTTCTCTTTTTTATTAAGAGGTCTTGGCGCGCTATAGCTGAGCCTCAGATACTGCGAAACCACTCGTGAGAGCGTCGTCTACGGCGTAATGCTGTAAGCCAGTGCTTATAAAATTAATGGAGACGATGATTTACGCCACTAGCACAGAGCTTACTTAAAACTTTCACCACATCGGATCATTTACCTTATCCAGAAACCGGACTCGATGGTGATAGAAAATGCTGATCACTAATTTCAAGACTTATTCAGTGGAAAATTGACCTGAATGCAGTGCTGTACAACAAAAAATAAGGTAAATGTTCAAGACGCAAGTTCGCATCTACCAGCTGTACCTATGTAGATCCGCTACGTCAGCAACCTCACAAGGATAGAGTCAATAACCAATGACCATTTCCATCCTCCCACCCGGTTAAGAGCTAGCCTTGATTTCCCATCAGTATGGTAAGCACATCACCCAACTCACTAATATACATCACCCTCCATTATAAAGGCAATGAAAAAATCCGTGTTCGTTGTAGTGTTCCAAGACTCCCATAAGGCAAAGATAAGACATAAAGCATAATCATTTCGTGTATTTAGGCCGAAAGGCTGGAAATGCGCTTTTTGCAAAACTCATACCACCAAACCCATGCGAAGATGCTTACAAAAGCGGCCACCAATTATTTAGGCAGTCGAACGAACAGTGCATTGCAACCAAGTTTTCATCGTGCTGCGGCCAGACTCTTCTCAATTTAAAAGGCGAAATTAGGATTCAGAAGCAAAATGTTTAAGGCATCCCAAACTGAAGTTCAGCAAAATACAAATGTTTGATTGCTGTTTATAGGCTGCTAACTGTAATATATACTAGATTGCTTAAGTAGACTTTTATAGGAGAGAGGCGAGAACCAATTGGGAACACCAATCGTGTGCGCGAGGACAGTGGGGAGTCTCTCTCCGATTGGTATCTCCTATTCGACCCATCTGTATTCCATTCCCTTTCTTCCTGTATCCAATGACAAGTAAATCGTCTTCTAAAGTTTTTTTCCAATTCTGCCATATTTGCTTGGCTTTCTTGCTCGCCGATCTCATCTCCTCAACTGTGGGCTTGGTTGAGGATGTCCTTAGTCTTTCATAAACTAAAGCTGCATCAATGTCGGAGCTCTGCGTGTTTCTCCAGTGATGGGAAGCAGACTCGCTCAATAACAGCGTACCTACTGCGTCGCTAATAGCGAACGGGGAAAAAGTCTCCGTAACAGAGCGTCCGCATTGCGGTGAGAGCTTCCTTTTCTATATTGCACGATAAAATCATATTGCTGGAGTTCTTCGTACCACCTCGCAATGGAGCGATCGATCTCCTCCATCGTCTTCAACCACGTCAGTGCTTCATGGTCTCTCCTCACAACGAACTGCTTTCCCATTAAGTAGTGTTTTAAATGCCTGACTATTGTATAAATAGCGAAAAGTTGCCGTTCTGTTGCACCCTCCTGTTTCATCTTTTTTGCTTTAACGTGAGCTGGCATACGCGATCACACGTTCCCTCCCGTCCTTATCTCTTTGGGATAGAACTCTACCCACCGCCTCACTGCGTGCGTCTGTGTCCAGCACGGAAGGAGGAGCCTAGGCATTTAAGTTTGGTAAAGGTAAGACTGGTGCTTCTGTCTATTCGTTTTCCAACGGAACTTGTATATGGAACGTGCGATTTTGGCGAAACCTTTTACAAACCGTCGATAATAGTTAGTCAAACTAAGGAAGCTGCGAAGTTCCGTTTGACTTGTAGGTGCCGGCCAAGTCCTCACTTGGCTTATCCTGTATTCCGTGACCGTCTTCTCATCTGCAGAAATGGTGTGTTCCAGAAACGTGATCGAGTTTTGGACAAAACTGTATTTCTTCGCATTCAGCGTCAGACCTGCTTCCCGAGTGCGATCCAGTACTAGTCGGAGGTTGGAGTTATGTTGTTTGATGTCTCTCCCGAACACGAGGATGTTGTCTAGATGGATAATGCAGTGTTTCGGGGGCAGACCGCGCAATGCCGTTCAAATAAGTCACTGGAAGGTGGCTGCCGCGTTGCAAAGCCCAAAAGGCATCGTCTGGAACTCATAGTGACCATTTGGCACAATGAGGGCTGTTTTTTCTCTTTCCTTTCCGCTACCTCCACCCGCCAGTATCCGGATTGCAGACCCCTTGTCGAGAACCATTTCGCGGCTTGCAGAGAACCCAACGAGTCGTTAATGTGGGGCAAAGGGAACGCATCCATCTTTGTTACTGCATTGAGTCTCCTATAATCGACGCATAGACGTAGGCTTCCGTCACTCTTTTAAACTAATGCGATGGGTAAGGACCAGGGTGACTGGGCGGGTCTGATAACGTTATCGTGAGTTTGGCCTCACCAGTACCGATCCTGTGTTTGACTACGGTGGTTCGTCCAAGTTTCACGCCCTCCTAGAACATTTGTGAGTAATTCTTCAGGAGTGAGTGCAGTTCCTTCCTCTCAGATTCAGCAACCTGTTTTTGTTGAGCGCAGAGATCGTTTAGATTGGTCCCAGGTACAGCAACTGCGACGAAAAGGAGTCCGTATATATCATATCCATTTTTCTTTGACTTAGGGATCGAACGCTTTTTCGTGGACCTTCGACGAGTTTTGAGCATGCTCGTATCGAAGTCCACAGTCGCGCGAGACTGGCGTAATAAGTCGGCTCCTAACAGTACTTCTCAGGCAAGTTCTGGACACAGCACAAAATTCACCTCCCAGCTATCCTTCCCGATTGAGACTCTGATAGATGCTTCTCCTATTACCGAGATTTCTTTGCCTTCTGCAGAGCGCAATATGGTAGCCGGTGAGGTAATATTAACTTTGCTGCAAACCATGGGGAAGGCTTGTGGGTTTAGTAGGGAATGGGCTGCCCCGGGTCCAGAAAACATGTGTAATCTCCTGTCTTGACCAGTGCATGCATAAAAGTAGATCATGGGGAAAGCAGACACGACAAAGAAAATTCTTACTTCGTACTGAGGTACAGCTTCGGAGCGCGTGCCTTTGCCCGCCAGTAGTCGATCGTCTTTTGGGAGTCCACGGCTGAAACCGAGTGTTGAATCCCGTTGGGGATTGGAGTTCGTGGTGCTTGGAGAATGCCGCGTCAATGAAACGGCTCAATCTGCTGGTTCTCATGTGCACCAGTTGTTCTGCCGAAGCGGTGGACGCACACCCTTTTGAAGTGGGCCGCTATCCATGAGGCAACTCGCAGGGGACGGCAATCCTTGAATGCCTGCTTGGTTAATAGCGCAAGATTCCCCCCGCTCTCCAAGATTCTGTAGCCGGGAAAAGTCTGAAGCCAAGAATTCTTCCTTCTGGAGGGATGTCACTTTGACAAGAACCTCACAGCACTCTTATATAACTGAGGAAAGCGTGATACCTGCATCCAATGCTTCGCGACGTGGGTCGTAGGGCAAGGCGCGAAGTAGCAATGGCACTCTCCGTACAGGATCGTAGAATTTGAGCTGTCTTTGTAAAAAAGTTCGTCATCGAAATTTGTGCCTTCTGTGGAAGGGAGGGATGTTGACCAGCGCTGCCACCAGTGCCTACTCTCATGCCCTTGAACCACGGACATCAAGAGGAGGTTTGTTGCAGTAGGTTTATCAGACATTGAATGTAGAAAGAATGGGAATAGGAGTACAGATGAGCCGAATAGCCGATATTACCCGAAGAGAGATTCCTCACAATTCTCACGCACGGAGTCCCCGTTTGTACTCATTTTCCGTCTCTCTCCTATAAAGAGTCCACTTAAACAATCTAGTACATATTACACTAACTGCCAGCGTCGCAAAAAGCATTGTGGACGAATTTCGAAACCTGTGTAGTAGTATGCTACGCATTGCTCGAATGACGTAGAATTCTATCAGTTATCCGGAATATATTCATAACCTTTAAAATAGTTGTTGTAGAGCTTAATTTTTCCAAAAGAGGTAGTTTAAGCTTAATTAATTAATTAATTAGTGCACTCGACAATGCAATCAATACTTCTTTATAACTGTTGCACCACTTTTTTATATGCCGTTGTGGCACCCCTTTGCAGTGCACAATTGTTTTTATCTGCGGTGTCAAAATAGAGTCCATATTGCTTAGCAGACTTTTAGACAGACTTGGTTGCCATATTCTGCTTATTTCTTCAATGAATTACGAAGGTATGCTTCTATACGTGTGCTTTTTTTGATTGGTTTACTCCTTAGTGCCCTTCTAGGTCAGCGTGGTAGCGCGTACTTTCGCAACTGCATATTGAGTCGGAGTATGTCTTATAGCAAGAAGTCAGAGGCTCACCATAGCAATTTGAAGTCATTCTTGGCTGGTGGATTCGGCGGGCTTTGCGCCGTTACGGCTGGTCATCCATTTGACACGATAAAAGTTCGTCTTCAAACCATGCCACGAGTTAAACCCGGTGAAACGCCAATGTATCGTGGTGCTGTTGATTGCGCTGTCAAGACCATTAAAAAGGAAGGTGTCAGGGGTCTATATAAGGGGATGCTTGTACCACTGTTTGGTGCAACTCCTCTGTTTGCGTTATGTTTTTTTGGCTTCAGCTTGGGAAAGGAACTTCTTGCACAGGATGCAAAGAATATTAAGTAATTTTGGCATTCAACTAATGTCTATATAGAAAGAGTGAAATATTTTTCGCGGGTATGCTATCCGGTGTATTCACTACTGTTGTAATGGCTCCAGGTGAAAGGATCAAGTGTTTACTTCAGGTGTGTTAGTCAATTTCTTCATGGGCGGGTAACGCCCACTTTCTATTACAGAATTATAGTCACGCTTGTAATTTTATCTTTATTTGACATCCCCTACGTACAAGTGATAGCCATCTGTCGTACTTTTAATAGTTTAGTCTAACTGCTGTAAATTTTGGCCTATTAGGTTCCGAATCTTGGTTTCCGCCCTAAGTACACCGGCCCAGTTGATGTTATCAAGCACTTATACCTTGAAGGTGGTGTGCGCAACCTCTTCAAGGGTACTGGTGCAACACTTTTACGAGGTGAATTCCGTTCTTACTTTCACATAATTCTGCTTCCATTGTTACCTGGTTTTTGCAGACGTCCCAGCATCAGGAGTTTTCTTCGTTAGTTATGATTGGATAAGGGAGCTAACGTCAACCACTTCGTGAGTCTACGTATCTTGCTAGGGAGCATCTAAGACTGACATTTTTTAAGTAGCACAGTATACTTTAGTAAACCAAATTAATGCATCCCCATCCTCATCCCATTTCCTACTGCAATTGTGGAGTCTGTTTCTCCAACTCGACTTGATAACTCAAGCTAACGATTACTATCAATCATTATAATCGTGAGATTCATGCTTTATGTGCCCCTTTTCTCTTTCTGGTGACGCCAGAATTGATAACGATGAAACTTCTATTGCAATTATGTCTAAAACATTATGCTGTTTTTTTTCTCGAAAATCATAATATCATGCAGTCGCACCTTCAAAGTAATGACTAAGGAGATGTGTGGTGAAGCAAATTTTGCCTTCAAGTCTAAACTCTTCTTTGTGCCTTCAATTCCAGGAAATCAGATCCTGGAGTTGCGCAAACTCTGTTTGCTGGAGGAATGGCCGGTGTTTTCAATTGGTTAATTGCTATTCCTCCGGACGTGCTCAAATCCCGACTCCAGATAGGTTTGTTTCTATTCAGAAGCAAACTGAACTGTACTCCATATCTAATCGTCACTGAATTTATCATTGTCGTTTTTACACATTGAGAGGAATAGACTTACAGATATTTCCGACGCTTCAATCGTGTTTGCACAGACTGTAACATGATTTTAGGTTTTGACCGATTCTGCTTAACTTCATCTGATGGCTTCGCACAATTTTATTTTTGTGTATTAAATAAGATTTTGTAATTAGTCATTTATCTACCTTATTAATGGCTACATGGTTAAGGTTTTCGTTTTTAACTATGTGGGCTCTGACGGGAAGAGCTTTTTTACGACAAATTTATGTTGAGAGTTGAAAGATGGTCAATATGAGAAATGTCGATCCTAGTCTTTTGCCATTTACTTGTCATTTTGGATTTAGCAGATGCATTTGTGCAATTCGTAGCACTGTTGGGCTATTTGTAAAAGACTAGATGCTACTGCTTTTGGAAAGGCAACTTGTTAGTATTTGAATACGAGATTGGAAATAGCTTTTGTAATCTGCTTAATGGGTTGTGCTTTGACTTTTTGGTTGCTTCTACAATTTGCCTTCCGTCTAGCTCCGGAGGGCAAATATCCCTGCGGTCTACGATCTGTTTTTGAGGAATTGCTGACAAAGGAGGGTGTTCTCGCACTTTACAGGGGTGCAGCTCCGGTCTTGATTCGAGCATTTCCAGCTAACGCAGTAAGGTTTTTTTATAAACAATTCTCAATTTTCATGCTACACATGCATCATAGTATTTGAATCGTCCAAACTCATTATTGAGTTTTTATTTTTGGCTCTCCATGAACGGTTTTACTCTTCCTACATGGCGGAGAGGGCTGACGAAAGTTGAGTAATTACTTCTGCAGTAACCATCGTTGACGCACAATAGCTTAAACTATCATAAGGTTCTTTCTAGGCATGGTAACAAAAGTACGGTTTTCTTCAAAAGATTTTGCTAGTCTAAACCTGACCAATCTTAAGGTGGCTTATTTTGGCGATGATAATGCTACTTCACTATCACAACTACCTCCATTAATTCGACCACTATTTGACAATCTGCCTGTCTCTGAGACTGCCATTACAAGTTTTTCTGATTGCCAACACCTTCATTTGCATGGTTATCCTTATTTCAGGCCTGCTTTCTCGGTTACGAAGGTGCCATGCAAGTCCTCAATTGTCTTTAGATTCCAAAGGGTCTTTGTTTGAAGCAAAGTTTGCCTCACGACTTGGCCGTATCTTGCCAACAGAAAATGCGGATTTACAAATATAGTTCTTTGAATGTGTTGGTTTTATCACGCAAATGTAAGCTGATATCATCTAGTCTTTATCAGGAGTCCACCGTACTTGGCAAATCTAAAGCACAATCGGAAAATGAACCAACCATTAATCTGGAAGATTCCTTATCCGGGAGGCATTTGTGTATATTGAATTGCCTCCGTTCGCATGCGGGGGGTGGCTCATCGCCACTCGTGTACTCATCCTTCGCCTTTACGCTTATTTTGGGTCCTATAAACAAACCTGAAGTGAGAGGCAGCAACATGCGGTACTCTGAACTATGCATGCTTGGACCCAACAAGATGATTTGGCTATTACGGTTCCAAAATGGTTAGAATTATCATCTAGCAAGACTTGAAGAATGGAGGCCATTTAGATATTACTTTGTCTAAAGCACATCCCAGTCATTAGGTGATGTGCACTATTGGTGTCGTGATGTTCGATTACAAGCACTTCTTTTCATTGTTTAATAAGATGTACAATAGTTGTAGTTTGATGAGTTTGGGGGGGATTTGGGCTACAGTGTTCGAAGACCTTGAAGATGAAGGAAGGCAGTCCAGAAACGAGGTCGTCCAGCTAAGGCATAATAGTAGAATTAAGGGTGACTTGATAAAAACGAGGACTTAAGGGTTGCGAAGGTATGCCTCACCCACTCTTAAGTGTAGCCCATAGTGTTCTGCTTGGTCGGCTCGCATCAGCCGTCAGTTATGTAAGGAGACGCCTAGAAGCCGAATTTGGGGACTAAATTTTAGGCCTCGCGTCGGAGGTGACCATCGGTTTCCTGCGTCGATGGCCGGCGTAACCATTTGGTGACGTCGAAGTTTAACGCCCAGTATCTGAACTATGGAAAGTGGTGTCCAGAATCGGGTTTGCTTTTGCTACCGGCAATTTGGCGCTCCAAGACTCTCGAAGAGGGGAAGAGAGTGTACCCACGATGCTTACGTGATTTGCGAACTGGTTCGCCCATCAATGGGTACCATGAGGCGATGCACGGGTGTTGGTAACCAGAACCAAGCCTGCTATAAGTAGGTCATGCCGCATACCCGCTCCGAGATAATTAATTAAATACTGCAATAATGGCGCTACATTTCAAATGAATGCGAAAATTGAGGCTAGTCAAAACGAAAAGCAAAAGTTTAAAAGTTAAATCTCTAAAGGAATGGGAGGTTAGTAGCAGTCTCGAGGCCTATGCAGCATGGGGCAAAAAAGACTAACAGAACCTAGTTCGCATTTAGTCAACTTTTAGGTCGCTACACACGGGCAATCTCAGCGAGTGCTGTACTTACTACATCAATTTCGTCCATTTCCATATTTACAAGCTTTTCAGGTGTCCGTAGTTTTTAAACGATTTCTTGGGTGTGGTGGCACAAAGTGTGCAAGGCACGTAATAAAAAAACTAACTAATGGACACAAAAGGAGGGCTGGGACTTTTGCATATGCAAACCGCAATGCTTTGTTTATGTGACTACCTGTCGTTTGACGGTCACTTGAGGATCTGTCTGGCCCTTGTACTCGTGGGCTGGCCTTCGGGCCATGCTCAGACCCATTTGCTCTGTCCTCTTCGGAATACATGTATCCAGCCTCACTTACTGCCTTCTTCCACCTTATGAGAAGTCTCGGGACGCTACATTGGTGGCAGCAGAAAGCGAATCCGACATTTACACAGTGACCTCTTTCCTAGAAGTACCGTTTGTTGCATCTTCCTACGGTGTGGAAGAGACGCGTTTGTATCGGTGGTGGTAATGGGCAAGTGGAGAGTACAAATCGTACCCTCGTCGAGTTACTGAAGGCTTTTACCAATGAGGTGCAGCCCGATGATTGGAATCTATACCTAGGACGGGCTCTTCTTGCCTACCGAGCCTCTGCTCACACCTCGACTGGAGTCTCACCAGTCAAGATGCTCACGGGCCGTGAAATGAGAGTTCCTTCGGATATTTTGCTTCCCCGAAAGAAACCGACAGGTGATAATGCGCCTCAGTAAGTCTTACGACTAAAAGAGAACCTCAGGAAAGTTTTTGATGTCGAGCGCAGACAAATGCAGAAAGCATACGCTAGACAAAAGATATCCTACGATAGACAGAGCCGAACAAACGTCCTCAAAGAGGACGATTTGGTGCAACTGTGTAGACCAATCCCTCCGCCAGGAACCCATCGGAAATTCTACCACCCCTGGAGCAAGAAATCCTACCGGATAATCAAAGCCCTGCCGCCCACGAATTATCTCGCTCGGAACGCGAAGATCGCTACTCGGCCTCAAACAGTACACCATAACAAGATTAGGCCATATACGGGTCCACCCCCAGTAGGTTACGAAGACGAAAAAGAGGTTCCGTCCAATTGAATCCCACTGGTCAGCACCGGGGACGGTGCTTGAAAGAGAAGGCAGGCTGTGTAGTATATTCTAGCTTGTTTAAGTGGACTTTTATAGGTGAGAGGCGGGAACCAATTGAGAACGTGGATCACGTACGTGAAGTCGGCGAGGAGTCTCCCTCCGGTTGATATCTCTTACTCACCTCATGTGTATCCTATTTCCCATCCTTCCTAACAGCGATGCCTACTAAATCATCTGCAACCAACTTCCTCTTAAAGTCTGAGAATCTGGGACCAGGGGATGGACAGGCAGTAACTACAAGCCCAACTTCTTCCCCTCCCAGAAAATATGCGTTCATTTCAACCCATCGCTTTCTTTTATTAGTTGAATATCACGGACTGATATGCTAACCATTTGCATTAAAATGCATAGCTATTTGAACTATTTCAGTGTGCATATTTCTCATACTTCATATTAGCTAATGTTGTGATACCTTTCTCAATGAATAATGTTGGCTTTGTAACCCTTGTACCTGCCTTAAAATGCATACATTATAAATTTGTGTTAGGTTTAGTATAAGGTAGCTAACTTAGCTCAGCAAGAAGAGCGCGCAAAATTTTACTTGAGACTTGGTTTTCTTACCTTTAGATACAGGATTTCTAGTTTAGTTGCTTTATCTAATCTTGTGTTTATTTTATAGAGACCTTGAAGCTCGAAAATTATTGGTCGTTGATACCCTGTATGCGCCATTATCATGTCTGTTTTGAAGGTATTGAGACGCAAGCTCGAGTTCCTGGGTTATCCATCCCATGACACATTTTCTATCCAATGTAACTCCTTTATTTTATGTCGATTTTTAGCTGATGTTGATGTTGCTAAACTCTTGGTTTGGCTAGAAGATAGGGTTATATGTTCTCTTCCTATTAGCGATCGGTTTAGGGACATTGATTCAAAGACTTGGCCAAATTATGTTGACATGGTAAACTGTGGTGATTATAGTAACACAGAATCAGTATATAAAAAAAATAGGCTGTCCATATGGGTTGGAGGAGCCCCAGTGTCTAGTAGACTGGCTCTTGAACCGTGGGGTCGAAACTCAGACTGGGGATAAAAGTGAGCACTTAATATTTATAGCTTTTTAGAAGGAAATCGTGGTAGCAAAAGCTATGCTACTTCTCAGGAAGCCGATATATTTGCTGGTATCGATGGTAGGCTTTGGGGTTTTGTTCTGACGGCACAAGCCGACAGTTCTCAGTTTAGGGAAGGGGTACACAGACTTGCAGAAGCACTCAATGTGCCTCAACATCCAGATCCAAAACAAACCTTTCGAGTAAGTAAGGTTGTGATATTATTTGCGCAAGGGCATCTGTGTCTTGATTGAAAGAATGATGTCAAAAGAATCCCTAAAACGAGCTAGGGAGGAGCATAGAGAAAAGGTAAGCTGGAACCGATTCGCTCTACCTTCATAATCGTATTTAAAGATTGAACTGTTGAGAGTAGACGACATATTCCTGGGTTTTGAGGTTGACGACCCAGCCTTATTGCCCGCTGCCGTCGCTCTTCGTCTCCTACATGTTTCGGAATTGCGCAACCTGCAGGATCTTATCAACTTTGCTATCGTCAAAGTTCAGCAACTGACCGCGGATCCAAAAACGGATGAGAAGCTTGGCCAAGTTGGGTTTTGAGTGTATTGGTTTAATCATGTATTGAATGACATTTATTTCATCGTGGGGCATTTCCTACTAAAATGTCTGTCAGTTAGCGAAGAGGAAAACTGGGAAGTAAATCATGTACATATCACAAAAGGAGACAACTTCGCATTTTTGTAGCTAGAGGATGGACGTCTCAACTGCAATAGACTCCAAGACGAAGAGTGTAAAATGACTCCAAGGGTTCCGTTTGCTCCAGCTCAATAGCGCTTAGGAACGCGGTTGTTGCGATAGCTTTGGATGCGGGGTCATTGGAGGTTTCACCGCTAGAGAGAACTTCTCCAAGGAGGCGCCAGACGCGAGAGTTTGTCGAGTCGACTGCCAGCGCATCACGCAATGCCTGTTCAGCTAGGATATATTGCTCGCTTTGTTTTAGTGTGTTTGCCTATGGTGGATAAAATTTGCTCACATGGGGTTAAAATAGTGACACTGCAAATATAAGGTACTCCACTCACTAAGCCATATAAGGATTTCACATGTGACGGATTAATCGCAATGGCGCTTTCGTACATCGTCCGTGCCTCTTCGAGTCTGCCTGTGGCCTCGAATATACGTCCGCGCTAGGCAAATAGACTAAAGTTGGCAACCTGTTCTCAGGAGGATCAGTTATTACTAATCAAAATGCGGGCCAAAGTCCACTTTGACGCACTACCCGCGGTTTAAATTAACATGGTAGGGTTACATCCATGTTTGCGACGGGAATGTACAGCCTCACTTACCAGATAGAGCAATTCGTGGTTTATTTGAGATAAAGAAACTGCCTCTGCGACGCAGTCTTGTGCATCTTCAATTCGCCCAGACTCTAAGTAAAGTTCCGCTAAAATTCGAAATTCCACCTAGTTAAATTTCCAGCTTTAAGAGATGAGTTTTGGTTTTGATCTAGAGTTGGTAAACGTCTATAGAAGTGCACTTGTGAGACCAACCCATACAACCCAGGATTTTGGCAAGCAAGTTCTGAGGGGAGAAGATCGCACCAACTGCTCCAGAGAAGGATATGGTTTGGGGTTGTACAGGTGAGTCGTTTTGTGCAGCCCCGCTGCCACCACCACTTGAAGCGAGCTCGGTGAAAATAGCTTCCAGACGGTTGGAAGGGAGGAGAGCAATGTGTTCGTAGTCCATGGTACCGTCACTCATCGCATTACAATCGAGTTCTGGAATGCAAGGGTCCAGTGCTGGGTTCTCATTAGGAACTAGTTGTGCGTCCCGCAAGCGTTCTAACGCCGTGCTTCTATAACAAAAAAGTTAAGTAGTGCTATCTCCTGTCCTGTGAAGAATCACAGCGTGCTTATTTAGGACAGGTCCGTATAGGCAGTTGGTAGCTGCCTGCTATTTCCAAATATGATGATCTAAACTACATGCATCTTTAAAGAAATGTTTATCAGATCCACGGTTAGTCGTTTACTTGTGCCTGACCAGTGGAAACAGAACAAGGCAGCGAGAAGTAGAATCGTAGTTATTTTGCCAAAGAATATTTATCAAAGCTATACCTCCCAGTTCAATGACGTACTGTTGTTCCTGCATTCAGAAATAGGAAACGGTGAACAAACCCTCCTTTAGGCAAATGCAAAAGGCTTTTAGTTTTCTTTTCCTTTGTCATGAGATACAATCGAAGAGGCAGCATACCCGGTTTCAAGTCGTTGACCTTGGAATTGCGGGAAGCAGTCGCACCAAGTATCGATGAGGTGCATGTAGACCTTCAATCCGGCCTCAGGCCCGTGGAACTCGGCCTCCACTTTCGCAAGGGTAAAAAGAAGTGAAAAATCGTGTGGACGGTCGGCGAGGCCACTTTGGAGAGCCCTTACGGCTTGATGCAAATGCGCATGTCGTCCACTATCCGAAGAGCTTGTGGTAGATGCCGAGTTGGAGGAAGGTAATGAGGCAGAAGCAGTGTGAAGGAGAGCCAAGAGACGAATCGTCTCAGGTTGCGTTGGCGCCAGGAGAATGGACTGCTGGCAAGCCTTCAGTGCCTGTTCGATTTTCCGCTTGATTGCCAGTTCTGCAGCAAGATGGTACCATGCTAAGTAGTCCTCAGGATCCGATTTAGTTGCTCTGCAAACATGCATCAAGCGTAAGCGACATTGTGCATAAAGGGCGTGAAGAGCATGCTGCATTGTGAGCAAACGTACGCAGTGTATTCCTCAATGGCTTGTTGCTGTAGTTCGACTTTACGCGGCAACATTTGACACTCTCGAGCTGAAATTGAGTACCCCCAACCCAACATCAGATGGGACCTGGCACATAAGTACGTGTCCTCTGCCTTGGAAGAAACCTATTGAGAAAAATGCAAAAAGAAGAACAGCCTACCTTACATTGACCCTTCGAAATATGCAATTAAGAAAGCAAAGTTGAATTTAGCCTCGTTTATTTGAAAAATCCCCTCTAAGAACCCAACTTAAGCAGAAAATAAGCATACCTCAACTCCATTTTTGGCAAAGAAGATACCCTCTTCAATCAAATGAAGGCGACCCAAACAAAGTGAGCTCGCAAGTAAGTAGATAGAAGGATTGTTGGGATCGATCCGTTGGCATTCTCGCAGAACTAAATAGGCCCGATAGTACTAAAAACACCCGAGATAAGTATCACTTTCCGCTTTATCAACTTGGCTCAAAGCATTTAAAAATATTTAGTTACTCATGAACTAATACACATAATCGTGAATAGGTTGGGTATGAATTGGAAGGGAGAGAAATGAAAGTTGTTCGTGCTAAATAAAACGAATAAATGAAAATGACTCAGAGGACATGCCTTTTGAGAGGCCACCAGTGAAAGAGCAAACTGATACCAAATTTGAAATTCTTGATAGGAGAACTTCAGAGCGCGTTCCAATGTCTAGAATAGGTTTAAGGAGAGCGATAAGGGTGACAGCAAGCTACGCGAAGCATTTAATACAGGGGAAAGGAAGACACAGGAGGTAAAATCTACAGACGGCTGTATTTCTTCAAATCAACGAAATCGATTACCAGCATAGCATGTACTCAAGAACTGCATACAAATGAATGGAAATAAAGAGTGTTAGTCACTAATATGAAAAAGGTGACAAAGTCTAGCCATATTTCAAGGAGAAGCTTCACTGTTGAACAGATTAAAATTGTTTCGCTGTTATATTTGAATGAAAAACTAAAGCAGAATACCTTGGAGAGGAATGAGAAGTAACCCTTGCGAACAAGAACGATAGCTAATAGGTCGTAGATGACAATGGTTTCATTTACAGTCTTAATTCTCCTCTCGGCCAAATCGGCAGATCGATTCAGAATCACATCTTGACTGGCCTAAACGATTAAATAATCTTGATGAACTGGAGAGTTCAGGCACAAACTGTGGTACCTGGAGCTGTTGTCCCATAGGCATCTCGTAAAGAAAAAGCAAATTTAACAAACGTACGGTGCGTGAAGTCCGAAGTCGGTCTTTAAGTGAAATAAGTTAACCATGCAAAACTTACGATATATTCTGAAATGAGAAGCATCAGAATGGCTTCCTGCAGCTGGTCATCTGGAACATAAGCATCTGCCGAGTAGCGGCGAGGTTTACCACTCTATAAAACAGCCAAACCCACAATGATCCTAAGGTTCTTAAGTTAGGGTCGTGAAACGTTATTTAAATTTGTTTAGATAGAATTGAAATAAACCATAACTTACTAGTTCGCGTTCAGTAGAGAGCACATATTTGTGGTATTTTCCGGTGCACACGACGCGCAGAAGAAGTTCGGCCAGCTGACGTGCAAGAGACTGGCGAAGTGGTTTTGTTGATGGTGTCTCCACATAACGCAAGAGAGAACGGAACTTCTGCACCGCTTCAGTCAAGTCACTTATTTAATGGAGAAAAATAGTAAAATAGAAGTCCAGTTAACTAAGAAGGCATACGACGATTAAGAGCACCGTCAAAGAACGCTTACTTTTGCTGAAGCGATTCAACAACTTGCCGTCTGATGGCAGTATCAACCGATTTGGGCAGACCGATAGGCTGAAGGCTGTCGGAGAGGCTCGATTCCACCTCCTGAAGATAACGGATACATACGCTTCCAGCCAATTCATACAACTCGTAGATTTCAGTAATAATACCTTCGTCTGATTCGAGATTCGATCGAGCAGGAAGTAGACGTTCCTTGGCGATTCCTTCAAATCCACAGAGACCACATAAACTATTCAGCAAACAAAAGCGCTGGAAAATTGTTCGAACGGAAAACTAAGGCGGAAGAGTTTCCATAATATTGTCGAGACGATAAACATTTAAAAAGGAGCTCAATGGAAGCTTTAGGAAACAAGAGCGACTAGCGTAACTATTGTCGGCAAGAATACATTTCCGTTCATGCAAGAATCCTAGAAAATACCCCAAAGAGGGGTTCGATTGATTCAACACGACCGAAGTGGTCCTATTCAAGTAACATGAACGGGATTTATAAATTTCATAGGGAGTTCACAGAGCAAGACTTGCCGCATAGTTGAATAATTCAGACTAAATAGGCATGCCACCTATGAATACATTCAGGAAGCAAGTGATCCCCAAAAGCCACTATCTCATAAGACTATTCAAACCGTTAAAAGTTTGAACAAAGCCAGAAGTATCAGGAAACTCAAACTCACCGAGCATGGCGAATCCCTCGGAAAGGAGACAAGCAAACCGCGATGCATAAGAATCGATCCGAACCCTTCTAAGGTCAATGCCACCGGTTGTTAGAAGTTCGACAACTTTTGGGTATTGGTCTTGAATGAATGATATCTTTGCTTTGAGAATTGTTGCTTCGTACCTATACTGATCATCGGCGTTCCTAAGAGCGACTTCAACGGCTGCCTCCACATCCTTAAAATCAATAGCGTAGGTACAATCCTTCTCCGAAAGAATAAGTCGACTTTCACAAAATACCAGATTGTAAAGACAGGCGTTCAAACCACTGCGCTCGCTTTTGAATGCACAGACTAATTCAAGGGCTTTGTTAAAATTACCCTCTGCTCGATGCTTCTCAATCTCAAGTTCAAGACGTGACTTCCGAGATCTGGATGTACGCGAAGCATACATAGCTGCGAGAGTAAATTTGGTTTTTAGCTTATGAAAAATAATTTGAAAAATATAGTCCCTAAGCAAAAAGTCCGTCCCACATCATTAATCAACAAAAGACATGCAACATAATTGCTGCATGATTCTAAGCAACATCAAAAATACATTCAAAACGTATGCATGAGAAAGTTGCAAATCCGAAATTATATGATCAGATAACAGAGTAGAAAGCGTTTTATAGTTAAAATTTTATGCAGCATTCTAGCCTCATGCAAACCAGCTGTGACCATGATTAGCGGTTAACTACGCGAAAACAAAATGCATGAAGAATTGAGCGACAATAAAAGGCAATGGCAATTAATCAAAAATAAACAAAATACACAGCAGTGACCAAACTATTGAGGGCAATACTGAGATCCACTCCATAAAATACAAGCCATGTTTGTCAATTGCGCAGGGAAATGCGTTGTTGTCATAAACAGGGTAAGCTCAATAAAACCAGATCAGTACAGAATCACTAGAGTTTACACACCCAATCAGTCGGTCCGCTGTATCATCTCAGGTCCATCGCCACAATTAATGTATTGATCCAAATCCTAATAAATTACGTTTTTAAAATTGTTTGCTAAAGCGTTCAAAATGTTAAACAAAAAGGAAATTTATGCAGTCGTACCCTGTTGTCTTAGTTTTGCCTAGGACCATTGCGTTAGGCCTTTTTCTTTAGGCGAAATTAAACATGATTCTTTGGACAATCATTCCGTCATGATGCCCATCACCTAGACAGCCGGTCAAGCAACCGCTTCATTTTTACATTTTATTCAATTGGCCAAAGAGTACATAGCGAATACCACTGGTATCCCATATTAGTCATTTTCTCCTACTACGGAACACAGTGCGGGCGTTCCTGTTGTGTCTGGGCCCTTTCACTGTCATATACAAGAAGCAATCCTCCTCAGGTATCCGCTTTCAATGAGATGCTTTGCTGTGTATTGAAATGAACAGAGGTAAAGTACACAGACAGAGCTATCAGGCGCTCACTCGTCTGCCGGGGCCATCTCGATCTTCCGCATCAGCGCTGCATTTGATCTTGTCCACTTCTGTCCCTGTCCTAGAGTGAATCTGAGCAACTCGTTCGCACAAGAAAAATGGCACATACGCACGTAAAAATCCAGCAACAGATATGCTAATATATTTCTGTAAAGTCACCGCGTTTCCTTTTATTATTGACTTTATGTAAACCATTTATGCATGAGGAATAATTTTTAAGTTTAAAGTGACTATTGCAAACCTTATGTCTTTTGCTTCCGTGTTCAAAACGCTTGGGTCTGCGTTCACACGAAAACTTGTGCTCTAGGTCGAGCGGGTTCAAGACTTTATCTTTGCTCATGAAATGTTTCCGACCCAATCTGCTGCAAACAAGCAGTTGGCAGCACATTATCGGAAGGTGCATTCAGCAAAAGGTTTTTTATTTTGTTTCTTATTGTCTTAAGCTGCTATCGATTCCAAAACTCCTCATTCATTTTACGCAAATCCCAAATGTAAGTTAAATGCCTTCAGTTATTTTAGCTAACTTTCGAATGAAGACGAGTACCTGTGCGCACGTAACTGCACGGCAGTCGAAAAAATTGGAAGCATACAAGCCTAAACAGGTAACAACCCTTTAATGCCTTTCATTACAGTGTCTAGTGCTGTGCTTACTCTAAGGATCCGGTGGTCAACAAAATTGTTCTAAAATTGATAAATCAGTATGAGGAATATGGAGCTTGGCGCCAAAAATCGAGGAAAGTTGCTATTTTGGCCGGAATTCCACCCAGTACTTCGTTAACACGTGGGAGTTATTATAAGCCTCGCGTGAGTGCTTATATGGCATTCTCCTGATTTCTGCTGGGATGAACAGGTGTTTATTATCAGTCTGATCAGTCCTACCACAAACCTATGATTTAGCTCCTCTTTGCCGTTGCGGGGTTAGCTTTGCGTAACATTCCTTTTTCGACATACTCAATAGCATTATGTCTGTTTGATCCTCTTTTTGATTTACCTATCTAAGTGTAGATTGTGTTGTCTTGTGGTTACATAGCAAACTTTTCGTGATCCGCCAGCTGATGTTCTAAATCTCCACGCGAACTTTTTTACTGAGCCCAAGGATTTTTGTCCAAGAACACTCAGGTCGTCAGCGTCCTCTCGAATTCGTGAACTTGCATGCTATAATCCGCCTCGACGACGTCAGGTGGGCGAACATTTGGAGAAATCTGATTCAGGTTAATCAATACTGCCCTTCGCTTCACAAAACAATATTGGTGCCGGTGCTTTCCCTGAAAATTGTCTGGGTGTTTTTAGATGTTCTTGGGACTTATTTGGTAGGATGATGAATACATTGAAAGGAATAACTATGACTTCGTACGCATCAAGAGTTTAGTGACGGTGATGAATGGCACGTTCCTCTGTGTTTTTTAGTTGGAGTGGCATCACAAACCAATAATGGCGATTTTAAAACTCTCACTCGAGACGTACAAGCCGATAAAAGCAAAGGTACATACTGTTCGGGTTCACCTGCGTTTCATTAATCTAATGTGAGGTAACAATGATTTGTCTATCAAGTTTTAGCATCATAATGAAAGGTTACTAAGTGTTCTGCATTTTGTTAACTAATTGTAAGCTACATTGGGTCTGATTACTTGTTCCTTTGTGCGATTAAACTTCGCCTTGGTATTCGAAAATTGCTGAATAGTCTCACCTTTATGCTTGAAATTACGCAATTGGTAGTGGTTTTGTTTTAGGTCATAAAGCATGTGGCCAATTTTATCGACAACCCATGTGGAAGTGGTGGTATGTTAGATTGTCGGAGCGAAAAGTCAGCTAGGTGCCGGGATTTTAGCTGTTAGATTAATTGCTCAGATGTTGTTACACTTTCCTATAGGAGAGTTTCGTGGAGTATCTTTGGGCAATGCCTATCAATCCCAAGTTCCGGGTTTGTCACGCAAAGGTGCTTCCCAAAATTTTGTGCCGTCTCCATCATACATACCAAACCAGAAGGTATGTCATCAAGTGCACTTCATTCATATAGTGGCCTATTTAGCTTGAATATAGCATATGGTAAGGCTTTACCGTGGTAGGAGTACTAAATGCCTTTATGCAGATGCATGGGTGTGCCCAAACATCTGAAGGTAGTGCATCATCATCCCTATTATCTACGCACTTAGTCCCAGGCACTGGACCAAATACGGTTCTGGTTTTTGGTCAAGTTCAGCAATGTCGAGTGCTTTTGGTGCTTTATTTCATCCAATAAGTGATAAGTTCATTGTATACTGATCGAGTTTACTTATGGAGGTAGTCAATGTAGTCCACCATCGTCAAGATTTTCATGGATTTAGTACAAGGTGTTGAAGTTAATAATATCTAAGATGACTATATTTTCAATGTCGCATAAATTCTTAAGTAATAGAAGTAACCAGAAGCAAACATTTTTAGGTTGATTCATCTCGACTTGGCACAAGTCGGTCCAGTCAAGAAACGTAAGCATCACTATCAAATCCTTTTCGAACCGGTCCATCACTAGTTAACAGGACGCATTAGCCTTTCTTCGAAATACTTTCACTACTATTGACCCCTCTTCGTGTACGAATAGAGCTGCTCACTCCAACTTACTTTCTTATTTCAGGCTGGATGATATTGAGTACCTCAAATTTTCATCAGCTGTGACAAATGACATCCTTATAAACCGACAATTTGGCAACAGGTATACCTTGTTGTTACTACTGAGCAAAAGCATTTGTAAGTTCCGCTTTTGGTCCTGCTAGCGTTTCTTCATGGAGAGCCTTGTTTTACTGAACATTATAATTGCGGAATGCGGAGAGGGATTTTTCGGAAACTCTAAGAGGTTTACTGTATCTCATTATTTTTATGAGCTTCACTTCATCCCCACTGCATAGGAATTGGTGATAGTGCTTTCCAACAAATCAGTTTTTCATACTCTGACATTTACACAGGATTTTTTTTTAGTCAATTAGTGGAAATTTTTCGAACTCATCTGAAGCACTCAAATTTGAGGCTCAGTAGAGTAGGTTTCGTTTTCTTTCTTCAATCATCTTTATTCTCACTACCTTATTGGCAAACTGCCGCAGGCACGCACTTGTTGCTGCACCTAGAGGTTCTACTAGCCGTCATTTCACCTCACTATGTAAAGCTGTTGTTGAATCTCCACGAAAGCGGGATCAGGTTTCGATAACATCTCCGTTGCCTTTCAGGAGCAACAGTTGAAAGCTATTCGCCATATTGCCGTAAAATTGGAGGTGCCTGCGGACTTAATGCTGGAGTTCTTAATTCATGTGAATAAGTCCGATGTTGTGCATGAATGCATAAAGTCAGAATGTTTACTTTTGAACTTAATATCGAATGCTAGTGACAAGAAGTTGCTTTTTATGGAAAGTTGAACAACTTGAAGCATTGCCCAGAACAAAGGGCCTAAATTTTTACTTTTGTATCGTCATACTATGATAGTAAACACAGCCTTAAGCCTGTATTCGAAGCACTTTAATGTTCCCTATCTCAAGCCCAACCACAATCCTGTTGAATTCGATACAACGAAGAAGGCAGAGCTTAATTCAAGTGTCAGCACCAATGGCACTAAAGCTCCGAACGACAAAAATTCTGACACTGACTCCCAGAAGAATGAGGATAGTCTCTCTAGTCCTTCCACGCCTTCGCAAGACTCTTGCCGCACTACCATTACCAGCCAATCAAGGCAATTCGACTGTAGCTCTCGGAAAATAGGGTAAATTGTCAAGATCATTACTACTTGCTGTCTGCGTCAAGGTCTTTTATTTAGCTTTAACAACTTGGTCAAACCTTGATCAGGATTTATTCGTGCTTACTTGATTTTGAACGCTAAAGCCTATTTATTGTCAATCCAAAGAACCTGGATGTCATTCATAGGAAGCTATTATTTCTGAAAAAAGTGATTAAAACTTCACATATCATCATTGATAGTATAAATATCTTCCATTTAACAGGTTTTGTGATGGTTGGCCTTGCGTTGATAAAATCAGAAAGTAATGTTAGTGGTCTTTAAAATATTTACAATAGTTTAACATTGCCAATGCTGTCATTCTGAATGTATTCTAAAGGATATTTCTTGTCTCGGTGTGAAGGGATGAATCGGATGTGGGGAGTGAATCAGACGATGCCACCATATCTCTTGCTTCATTATCGCCTTCAGACTGTCAATCGTCCCAGCAACGGTCTTCAAAATTGACGTCAGAAATTGACACTTCTTCGGGGCTGTCAGGTGGATTGCCTGCTATAGACTCGGAGATTGAAGAGACCAGTCGATCCCTCAGTTCTTTTGACATCAAAAGAACGGTTAAAAGTGATAAGAAAAGTAAAGATAATAGTGGCAATGACGAAGAGGAGGAGGGAACTGACATCGATGAGAGCTGCACTATCGAATCTTTTGACGATGATGAATAGAACTTTCCGGACATTATTAAATGCAAATGACTATCCTTGAGTAATAATGCTAATAATAATAAATCTTTACTGGAATTGAGAATCGACCATGAGTGATAGGTTGTCGTGAGAAATCAAATTTCCTGCTGCATGTTCATGTTGATCAATAGAACTGCAAGACAACGACTTGTTGAGGAGGCTTACCTCAAGCATATTTCAACACGTCTGCTATCTTCTACTTTATCAGCTAATATAGCAAATAATCAAGGCAGATTGTCTAACGGATTGATCGAGTTACCAGCAGAGAAAGAGTGCATAATGATTTTGGCTCGAGAATGCCTAAATATCTTTTCCTGGGTTCTGAGTAGGTGGTGCTCTAGTCAAATTTGACAACAAGCTGGTGCGAGCTCCTGTTGTTTCGAAGTGGCTTCAGAATTTGTTTCTGCAGGACTTTTGTTTGCCGTTGAAAACGGTAAAGCCTGAATGAGAGTTAAGTGACAATCCTTTTAATCTTAATGTCATTTATTACGCCATTGTGCTAAGTGCATATCGTTTTTTTTAAATACCTGCTTGAAATAAGGCGCGGATGTGGAACAAATTTGGTCCCCATCTGTCCCTCCATGTGGGGAGTTTAGGTGAGCTGTGTAAATGCAGCAATTTTGGATAGGACTTTGCTGCGTACAAAACATCCAGTGGATTTGTCACTTATAGCAGCTTAGCCTCACATCCAAACAATGGGTTTGGTTGAATTGTGCATGAGATAGGTGCGTCCTGAGTTCTCATCAATGGCAACTTAATGAGAGGGCATTGAGGGCAAAATCTGGCGTATCATTACTCTCAGAGCACGCTAGAATTGGGGATTTAACAACCGCCATAAGCTGGTCTGTAAGTCGTACACACACCTGTTCGTCGCACACTGTAAGTCATCTAGCCCGTAGTCTCGGTTGGGCTACTTGGGTGTTGTCGGCGTACGATAGGATTTGGATCAAGGAACGGTGACTAAGCATCTGATAGACTGTCACCGAAGCCGAGATTGAAACAAGCAATCAGTGAATTATACGGCCAGCCGTTGGGTCCTAAAGCGTTTAGTGAGTATTTAGATTTAATGTGCTGATGGTAGGCTAAATGCGGCAAAATTGCTTTTGCATACGGGTCAGGTCGCAACTTTGTAAATGCTTGGTCCGATCGAAGTTCAGAGGTTATATCATCAGACCGAGGGGTGCGTGTGCTTTACGATGAAATATGCTTGTCACAGTACATCTGAACCGATTGGGAAGCTAAATAGACAAACTCACTTTAAATAAATCCGTAATCTCCATTCAAAGCACACCAGTAGCGTAAAATTTTGACAGAGGAAAC